AATCCCGACTATTTCTCGTAGCATATTACAATTTTCTCAACGAATTCTTCGTTACTAGGCAAATTCAGGGGTTGTAGATCGCATCCGCTGGAATGCTCTCGCTTTTATGTATACTTTATACGGTCAATAAAGTGCACCCTCTCTAATGAGATTAGTTTACGTACTTCTGATCTTGCACACTGCGGTCGATCGAGTAGGCCTAAGATATATTTGTTATATAACATAATGCACAAATAGCTTTACCCTATTTATTGGAATAAAATATTTTTGTAAGGCGTGTTTATCAGAGGGATGTATGAAATGTACACATTATATTGTGAGAAATTATAAAGTACGTATTATTTTGTATTTATTGTGGCTTGTGAGATGGGAGAAAGGGGGGATTTAGATGATAAACCTGAACAATAAAATTTAATATTTCTGATGTTTACTTTAGAGTATGAAAGTAGAGCAAGAACATTTTCCTGTCAAATTTCCAAATGCAAAAATAACATCATTCCTATATTCAATATTTGGATTATTGTAGTGTCTAATTTGATTCTATTTAAATGAGATATTAGAATTAATTTTTAAGGTTTCTAAAAGTTATAGCATGGAAAGAGGACTAAACTGCTCAGCTATCACTTTATAAACGTTAAACAATCAAAGATGTTGAATGGAATTAAGTGAAATAAAAACTTGACAATTGCTCAAACTCAATGTTGTATTTTTTTCTATTAAACTAATTTATATTATTGTGCATTATTTCTGTATCTTTGTCAATCTCAGAGACCTATAAAATGTATAAAGTTTAATGCAACAAATACATACAGTATATACATTAATACATACAAAAATCACTAACTTAAAACCTTGAATAGAAGCCCCAATGGGATTAATTTCAAGAAGCCCATCTCAATCAGAAGCCCATGGGCTACTCAAGATAATAATTGGCTTCTTTCGAGATAGTACTGACACTAACGCCGATGATTATGATAGCATGTCCGTATCAATAGTATTTTAAAGTACTAGGTTCCCCCCCCCCCTTTTTAGTATGCAACAGTAATCAAGTAAGAAACAAAATTCTATTTTTATTTTTCCACCCTTTGACGATCTTCAAAAAAAAAAGTTTGTGAAACAAGGTATAAAAAAACTCTTGCCTTTACTAAATCATTATGTTTCTCCAAGGCTAGACATTCTACCATAATAGTAATGGAATATGCATACCATAAAAGCAATAGTCAGGACCAATGCCATTTTAATTAAAAAATAATTTGTACCATAAATATGTTTGGCTTTGCTCTGCATATAAAGCGCTTAGTGTAATGTGCACAGAATTATGTTCAGCATACGACAGCAATGTTTTCTGTGCACCCACAAAAGCAAAACGCTAGCTAATTTGCATACACATTACCAGAACAAATTTAACAAGGTAGCTATTTCATTATATAAAATTTATTTGAATATTTTAAGAGAACACAAAATCAAAATCATAAATTAACATACATTGCAATGTAATCAGGAGACATAACATTGTTTTATTAGAGGAAAACTAAAAATTAAACACTTTAATGTTACATATATTTCTAATAAATAACATTCAATTTATAACCATTGTAATGTAATAATTTAACAAAGACAGAAATCATAAGTTAAGAAATTAATATTCAACAATCTTTAGTTACGACCCCTGGGTATTTCTTAGCCTAGGAACCATCATGGAGGGCAACAGTCAATACTAGCCAGAAATTTGCCGAGAAGGGGTCCAACATAGAGGTCCAAACCAAGGGGCTGACTATAGCTCCAGGTCCCAGAATAAAAAAAATCCATTGTAGAATTCACAGGGAGTTTTTATGGCTTAGGTACTGACAAACAAAATAACGTTATTTGGATTTGCAAGTTATTATCGTTTTATTTCTGATCCGACAATCTTGTTATGGGATCACAAGGGGGGGTTCCAGTCCTGGAAAATTCCTTCCTACTCCCTGCTGGCGCCATCACCGGGCCTATTGCAAGTAATCATGCCTAGGGGTAAACGTTTTGTGACATAAGATATCTGGTCAATTGTATTCTGATTTTAACCTATATTCCTTTGACAGGTTTAATATCAATGTTGTCTCTCTCCACCGAGGAGTACAAGTGAGTACCTGGTAGGTTCAAACACAAAATGCGCTGATTACAGCTGCAACATGGAATTCTCAATAGGGACCTGAGTATGTGTTCCATATTTGCTTGATCCAGTGACCGGGGTAATAATATGAAGCAGTTAGAGATGTTTTTGGCATGAAGTGCTATACAAGTTTAACATCATGTTATTAAATCAATTATCATTGAATGGAATCTTAAGTTTTCTAATTACAAACATTAATTTACATGATTTTAACCAAAAGCCCTTCAATTACCTTTGGATTTTTGACTTTGAACACAACATGTGAAATTAATAATATTAAATCACATGAGCTTTGGTATCAACACCGCCACTAGTAAATACATATTTAACTGGTTTTCAAAAAAACAAACAAACTGAAATATATTAATGAGAATCATCTAAAAAATATTGAAATTTATGTTGCAACTCCCCTATCATAAAAATTCATTTACCAAACTTCAATGATTATCATTATATCATCATATTATTATTACTATATTAACAAATGTCTATTTTGTAGTCTAAAATTCAAATTTCCCTATCCTTTGGTTAGCGTTTACACTAGACCGATAAAAACACGATGACATATCATCGTGTAGTTTGTATTCTTCAACACTGCACGCATCTGTATCGTGTCATTGTGTCGTTATTGTGTCTAGTGTAAATGCAGCTTAAATATGGTCCAAATTGTGTTTTTACATCCACAATAATGTTATTTGGATAGTTAAATTATTACTTTCGGTCTGACAACCTTGTCGTAAAATCTGATGACAGCGTGTCCAGGCCTGTCAGGGGGAGACATGGATGGGGGAGCATATGTCCCTCATCTGGCGCCACCACTGGTTCTACCAGATAACTATCTACTGATTATATATAATTAATATATGAACATTAACCATAACTTATTTTAATGAATAGTGTTCACATGTGAGAGACTTATTAAAGGATAAATGAAGACACAGAGGTCATGATCAGTTGAATGGTTTTTAAGCCTGATCAATTACAGAGCTGGTTCTACCAGATAACTATCTACCGATTATATATAATTAATATATGAACATTAACCATAACCCATTTTAATCAACAGTGTTCACATGTGAGAGACTTATGAAAGGATAAATGAAGACGCAGAGGTCATGATCAGTTGAATGGTTTTTAAGCCTGATCAATTACAGAGCAATCAGCATCGTTAATTGCTCTTCAATTATCAATCAGCAACGATCCATAAAAAACACTACATAGTCATCTACATCGCTACACACATGCAATAAAGAAGTATAAAAATAAATCAAAATTCTAATCTTTGTTTGAATTATGTACAATATTAATTGCACACACATATAACTATAGATATAATAATACTTCAATTAATAGTACAGTAGTTGGTAATTGGAAAACGAATGATTGTTCGGACTCATTCTACTCAGGGAACAAAGATGATTACTATGATGGTCAAATAATTACCATATATATTGGAAAAACCTTATGCCACTAATAGGGAAGATATTTTTCTTATATTCAAGAGAAGAAATAAAGAAGCAATGAATACATTATTATGATGGCGATGGCTAAAAAAATGGAGAGAAGTATATTTAATTATTTGTTTGGGTTTGATTTTATTTTTACCGCAATTAGATCACGGCAAAACAATTCATATTCTTACGCTGGATTGTTACAATTTAAAATTAGTTTGTTAAAAGTATTATTTAACAAGGTAACAGGGTCCCTCACGTTCGAAGTATTTTTTTTATTTAAATAATATTAAAATAAATCCATTCCATGTGGGGTAAAGATATGAAACGACAACTTCATAAAAATAGAGAAACCTCTATGACAGGGGTGGGACCCCCAACAGGGTTCCCCGCTGGTTCCACCCCCTGCTCTATGATCACCGAACGCAGCAACCGAGAAGAATCAAAGATTTGGGTTCAAGGACTTCGATTAGAACAATAGAATAATTTACAACATGGCTATAGTGTGTTCCATAACATATTATTGTTCTAATTAATTTTCATGTATTTCTTCATGATATGAAACAACAAAACATCACAGAATCTGACAATATATTATTTCAGAAAACTCAATACAGAAGGATGACAAGGGGAAGACAAACATTATTAATGTTCACAAACCATACAAGATACGGTGGTGTATCTAGGGGGTGCATAGGAGGCACACGAACCCAACAACAACCCCCCCCCCAACAAAAAAAAAGCTTGCGCTACCCTTTTACCCCCATCCCCTACCATTGAAAATGTGCAAAGCAAAAAAATCATGCGCAAATATTTTAAAAACCATCTATCACCTTATCTTGCGACCTAGCACTTCTTTAGTTAATCATCGAGCACAAATCTTTGCACCCCTATTATCCCCTACTCCATTTCAAGAATCCTAGATACGCCACTGAAGATACCCCTTACAATTAATTCAATTAGTTAATAATTAGTACTTGCCAGACATATTACAAGTTTAGTCAACCCTTCATTATAATATTAAAGTTTTATGAGTTGATATATTACTCATCATAAGTTATTTAATAATGTCATAAATTAGCACCATTTAAGTATGTATATGTTTTGACCTTAAAAAAAAAAAATTAACTACAATATTTGAATTGATTATTTATATAGGCCTACAGTAAGTATTAATCCCTCAGCAATTACCAAATGCAATAATTAGATTGTTTTGGTACAGTATGTACCGTCAATGCTTGAATAAGCAATGCGGCGCTTATAAAATTTTTGAAGGTTTCCAAAAACTTGGAAACTCTGGGCTTTGGAGGGGGGGGGGGGTCGTTTTACAGGTGGATCGCCTTATGTGCGAGAATATACGATATATAGTGATATCTTATAAACAAGGTAAAAAAAAAATGTTGTGTTGCCCTCCGAGACCGACCAAAATTTTCCAAAAAATCGGGTCGGCAATTTATTTAATTTTTTTTTATTTTGTTCAACTAGAAATTCAAGAAATACCACTTCCGAAATTAACATTTTAACATAAAATCTAAAACAGACATGTATTTTTACCAAAATCAGGCCATAGATGCACGTGTAAAATCAGTAAAATAGAAGACATAATTTTGAGAACCGAGCGCGACAACGATATATGCACACAACATCGGATCTCTCGTGCTGAGCTGTCAAGAGCCACGACCAGATTTAGGCCTAGGCCTAAGCCTAACCTATTCTTTACTACTGTACAACTAGTGGCTGCTTGAATCTAAAATCGTATTCATTACCTTAAAGTATAGGCCTATTGGACAATAAATAAAAAAACAGGCTAAGGTCTAGCCAACGCTTTAAAACCAGTATATAGCTAGACATTTTCGGCTCTGTTACAATAGGCCAACCACAAACATAATATTTTTAAGTTTACTTCGATTGTATCACGTAGATGTGCTTGTTTGGACAACTTTCATAGCCACAGTATGGTTTTGCTCGACCTGCCTGTGCGTAATCGTGTGGATCGGATACACATATTATTTTACCATTATTTTTCCATTTAAGGGCAACACAACAATTTTTTTAGCCTTTTGCAATCAGAATATAAATGTATATTTTGTATAATTAAACAAATTATATATTATATTGCTAATAGGATTAAGAACTACAGTAAAGGCCTGTTTATACTTCAACGATAACGATAAGAAGGCTAAAAAGCAATTGTTCATATAGAAAATAAAAGAAATAAGAGAAATTTCTACACTAGAATAATTTGATAACAATTTATCAGATATGCGATAACAACATATTTTGATAAATCAAATCATGATCATGGAAAAACATTAACATCGTAGTAGTAGCAACGATTCTACCGTTTTTTTCATGATTATGGCGTCATCTGATCTGATTTGATTTGTGAAAAAAATTTTTTATCGTATACATGATAAATCGATATCGAATCGGCCTGGTGTGAAAACTTCTCTTATTTCTTTTGTTTTCTATATGAACAATGGCTTTTTAGCTTTTTTTATCTTTATCGTTATCGTTGAAGTATAAACAGGCCTTTAATAAGGATAAATATTTGTACAAATCTGGTTTTGGAAAATCTGCAATTATTAGTTGATATTTAACCCGAACAAGGTTTTTGGAAATATGGAAGTGTATCTATGTAAGGCATTTTTATAATATTTAGGGGTCAATTATCAACATTTTCACAAGTGTACAAACAGTACTCTCCGTACAAAAAATTGTTCAATTTGCAAAACCTTTATCAGGCATTGTCTTGTGAAGTTATCTAAAGCAATGTACTTGGTACCTTAAAAATGAATATTTTATATCCATGGTTACATTATAAGTTTACCATTATTTTACATATTGCATGTTCTTTTGAATCAATATTTTTATGCATATGTAAAAGTGTACAAATTTGTCTACCCCGTAGTGTACTGTTTGTAAACTTGTGAGAATGTTGATAATGTTTAACCCCTCCTTAATTAGAAATTAAAACATAATTAAATGTGTATGGCAAATATATAAAGCAGGAAAATACTGCTACACAGGTGGAAGTGGGTCATAGTTAGGCCCATGTTATCTCCTAGGTATTTGTGGTAGGCAGTTTGGGAGAAGAAAGGAAGATCCAAATCTATAACAGGGAGCCGATGGAGTACTGTTTTGTCTAATTTTAGTAAAAAGCATTTATCGAAAATGAATGTAACCCGTTATTTTTTAACCCCCATAATTGAGCTTAGCAAGGTTGATAAATCTATTTTTTAAAGTGAAATGTTTGAATAGCCTCATTAATTATATCTATAATACTCTATATATATTTTAAAATTGTAGTTGGTTTAATAAAATAGCCAACAATTAGTGTCTATTGAAAAGCAAAATTCTTCTTGTTCTATTATGTTTGTTCATTCTAAAACGTTATAAAATATGGATTCAAAATTTAAGATGTTGCCGATGACTGTAAAACTAGAAATTAGTACAGATTCAATTCCTAGCGTAATATTTGGTATCCATTATCACGTGCCTAAACTGTGCCAAATACCTGCTAAGTAAATTCTGATCGTCTATATAGACTTCATATGGATTTTGTTGCATGTTGAAGTGTGAATTTGACAAGACTTAGCACCGTAATTTGTTCAGTTTCTGGTAATTTAACACTGTCGTTAGTCTGGCCAACTGGGAAGAAGATAATCGTCGGATACGTTGACACTTTGAACTCCCACGGGAGGTCATTTGCATCGGCATTAATTCTGGAGAAAAAAAAATGAATAAATCTCTTTTTATAATTGTATTATTTATTGATTGTCAATGTAAACCACACCCCACGCTAACAGATATCTCCTGCATGCACTAATGCATTGCATTATTCATTTTTTTCACAATATCTCCTTGTTATTTTACCCTGCAGACAATCACCATCTATCTCCACTTTCCGAAATAATCATTTGATGACATTTATATTTTTGTTTTTGTAAAATTACAAAACTTGATTGGTGTTCAGTTCATTTTTGTATAAGGTGGAGTGAGTGCAGTATCTGTTTGGGCTTGTGCCTATTCTCACTCTGGGCTTAAATTGTACTTGATGATTGCCAAATAAATATTATTATTATTACATTTAGGAATAAATAATTTGTTCTCTTGACTATTAATATTCTTTAATATATAATATATAATAGAAATTTATCATCATCATTATATTATGATTATTAGTTTTATTTTTATTATTTTTTAAAAATATTGTTATTATTATTACTGGATTATTATTCTTTACATTAATATCTGTTATTTTTGCTATTATTATTGTTATTTTTATCAATAATGTTTTTGCAGTAAACAGTTGTTTAAGTAATAAAGTACTATGGTAGCTCACACATGTACAGTACAGGGAGGATTTCCCTTTGTTAGCTACCATCTCTTGTGAGGCAAAGAAAATTATGAATTATAATGAACTTAACTGTTTGTACAGTCTAAAGTATTATTTTCCAGATTAAAAATATAATTTTTTCCTCCACATCACATTTATTATTTCCTTCACATCTACTAGCAAGAACACTAACACACTTGCAGTATGGAACAATGCTATGAGAAAAAATTTTGTTGTGACCGGAAGAGAAAGAAAGAAAAAGAAATTATTGATCACCCAAACACCTCAGAGGTTATTTCCGGGCATCTAGAAAACAAAAATTTCCCTAGAGGGCATGCTGGACTCGTACCCCGTAGGGTAGAGTTATCTCTTGATCGCTCCCCCTTTCGGACATCTCTGGATCTGCCCCTGAAGCTGTTGTGATTTGAATCATTACTTTGCTTTTACAATATCAATTTATAAAATTAGCAAATACTTTTTCTTTTCGTCAGGAGTTACTCTGTCTTGGAATAGCATGCTAGACAGATGGCGCATTATAAATGCTGATTTTTATTATTATTATTATTATTATTATTATTATTATTATATATTTTATGGGTCTTAATACAAAACTATAGCAAATTAATATCCTTTCTTCCATTACTGCATCAATGAATAAGCCTATATTCAGCATAGTGCAATAACAACCCATTTAGTCACAAATCACGGGATTCAGGTTAACATACCTGGATACAAGGATGCCTTCAAGACCAAATTTCCGGAGAAGATTAGCAAAACTAAGATAGACAGGAGCGATTCGAAAGCAATAGCCACACCACGGTGCATAATATAACAAGAGAACATCCTGCAATATAAAACATACACTTTTAACATAATTACTTCTGGTACATGTCAACATAGGATCCCCTCCTTTTAACAATTTGAATGCAAAGATTTTTTCCTAGTTTCATCCAATACGCCAAGACAAAAATGGGGCACCACCATAATGAAAATAATTCCCATCAACTGTAATGAAATATGAACAAACATACAGTATATATTTGAAAATATTGAAATTATTTACAATACAATAATGGTATGCTTAGACAAAATTGCGAATGAAATGTCTAATTGTTGCCGCCTGTCACGCCGGTTCCACAGTTTTGCTGTGTGACGTATCCGTGACGTTTTAGGCGCGGTGGCTTCGCTAAAACCAGCCAATGCGCAATCCAGCTATTATATTACAGACCAGTGATGTGAACTTACATATTTTTATGCCTTGGTTTAACCCAGTCGGACATGGACTCGCATCCCTGGCAGCAAATGTGTTAATAGAGGTGGCCGATTCAGAGAAAATAATTCACCATTAAAAACATTCATTTTGCTAATAAGAATTTACAGCTTGATTTAAAAAAATAAATCCTCTAGTTTACTAACCATTAGGTATGGCAAGCAACACCAAAGGAAAAATATTATAAATGGAGAATTACATGGAAATCTTAAAGCCACGATGTATGGAAATAAATGGAAAACTGCTATTTAGTTATGTTTCTGGGACGGACGATATCTTGTTTCAGCCTATGGGATCTTAATCAATATGATGTTTCAAGAAACCATATACCCGCTAATATTTTCCTTTCCCTCTCAAGTGCCTTGAGTATTTTTGCGAAATTATCTGAGTGCTCTACAAATCGTATTTATGATACAATAGTATACTAGGAATATTAAATGATAGTAATATTAGACTCCACTGAACATTTACAAAATCACTATACACCAATGTACAAAAGCTTATAGCAACATGAACCTACCTGCGTATTGTTCAGAACAATTTGATGAAATGTATCGGCAGTAACCTCAAGTATACGTATATCGGATGATATGTCTTGATGCGCAGCGTTATTAACCTCAGGTGAACTTCTTAAGAACTGCGGCAGATCATCGTTGGTGTAATTTAAGATGAATTTATGTAATGAATCAATAGATAATGTTGGTCCTAATGGTAGGACATGCTGGATTTCATTCTAAATCACAATAAAAAAAAATATTGTTTAATTCAAAGGAAATGTAATGTATGTTTATAATTTGTTACTCTATAATTAGCTACCATATTACAGTATAGTCTACAATTTGAAACAACCTCTTCTATTCAAGATTTTATTTCTGAGCTGAAAATTTTTTATTTAATTCTTATTTTATTTAAGATTGTTTTCGCAGTATTTTTCATTTTCACATGATTTCCTTTTTTGAGTCTATGTTTGCCTCAGTGGTGCACGGTAGCATAACCTGAGGAACAGGTAAAAGGTGAAAACTACTGGAGCCCAGCATACCGCCTTATGTGGAGTATTTACGTAACATGGCCACATAGATTTTTTTATTTTATTTTTTTTTTTGATATAGTAATTTTTAATGTATTATAAAATGTAATACAATTCATGGATTTTTTTTCATTTCAAGCTCATAACATAGTCAATATGTGTTGGGCATCCTATTTAGTTACGTAATATATAATTTGTGACAACCTGACCAAGAATTGAAATAAAGTTGAACCTTATTTATAAAGTTAAATTTATAAAATAAAAATAAATCGTAATCTACCTTATAATCAATGATAACAGCTGCTAATCTCACACCATCAGCAGTCTCTTTCAATCCTAAATGCTCGGCAAGCGACCAGAACAAGTCCGAGCGGACAGCGTAGAAAGTAAGCGTCCTGTTTGTCCTACAGCCCAGGCCGGTCATCTCACTCCACTTAAGAGCTTCATTGGAAATAGAACCGCTCTCATCTTTTATATTATCACTTATTTTATTCTCTGATACAAAATCTTGATGATAATTCTTTGAGGTCTTCGTTGAACTTTTCATGTTAGTACAATCACACGTTTGTAGATGATCAGTCCCGGAATAAATTTTATTTACATCGGTAAACTTATCTAATGTTTTGCAGCATACTCGTATTTCGCTGAAAGGACTATAATCATTCAACCAATTAAGACAAGAATTAGACCCTGAGAATAGATGCATTCCAAAAGATTCTAGCGATTTTGAAATAATACTCGCGGAGTTCACTTTGCAACTGTCCCTGCCAATCAGTTGATCATTCGAAGAGTATTCACAAACTTCACAAGTATTGAAATGAGTTTTTAAGCATTCAACTCTTTGGTTGTTTGTTAGAGTTTGACAACATTCTACACTCGCAGTATCGGGGACCGGGTCCCGGACTTTATCTGCGCTACGATATTTTGAAAGACGGCGTTCTGAATGAATTGTCTGGATTGTATCCCAAATATTGCTTGAATTTCCGCAGTTTAAGTAATCCAGTGTTACCATTCGCAGCTTAAGCAAGAATGAAAAATGTACAATTGTAAAACATAGGTTTAAATCACGATTGAAAAACAGGGTGCCTTCTTATACGTACCACATACAAATTTTAGATTATTAAATCATGTTTGTCTTATGTGTGGATCGTCCTTAACACATGAATGTACTACTGAAATCAAGCTACTAAACGTTAGTATGAATGAATGCAATTTTAATTACGGGGGAATAAGATATTGATGAACATTTAAGAACTCATAAAAATGGTATTAATTTGGAAGATTAGTCGTGCATTTAACTCCGTTTTAGCCGGCTTGATGCAGTTTGAGTAGGAATTCCAACAATGAAACAGGAGTTGTCTTTATAAGGCCAACATACAAAAATCATCCATAAATCTTCTTAAACTCGCCTTATGTGTGGGTTGGCTTATACGCGAATATATATGTTATACTAAAAAATGAATAAATAAGTGAAAATATGGCACTTACTAAATGAATATTGTTGTCAAAATGTCTTTGTTCCACATGAGGAGTAAATATTATTAAGCTTGCGCCTTTTTTAAGTAAATTTGATAAAATTAAACTTTTTCTGTGTGTTGGAATCAACCATGACACTGCCTGAAAAATATAAAATATAACATCCATATCATGATGTTAGTTTCATTTAAAAGTTGCTAATAAAACCTAATATGGAAGAATTGTCTACTATAAACATCTTACCTCACTAAAATACATACTGTATGTAAAAACACTACATTAATATCATATAATGAAGTACCCTGGTTCTCAAACTATTTTAGGCGGTGACCCACATTCAGACTACCTATTCTCTGGCAAACAAACCCATACAGGTGATATTGTCATACCACAATGCTATTGTCATGTTATATGTTGATTTTTAGGCATTTTACTTACTACAGTCTCCTTTTATAGTATGGAGAGAATTGAAATAATACACTAAGAAACATTTGTTTAATATTAAACAATAAAACTAGAACAAATTTTTTTTCTTATGCAGAGTCAACATGAGTCAGGTTGCATTGAGAAGCTGGCTGAGAGCAATGTTCTCCCAATTGAAGCATTTTTTTCAGATAAATTTGTCCATAAAAATTCAGCTTTGCCTGCAGTATAGAGCTTGTACATCCCCAACCCATCGCATAAAGGCTCAAACAAACTCAAAAAGAAAAGAAGCTACTCGTCATTTTAAACATAATGTAACCTTTATTTAGTAACAGGTAAGCTCCTGCCTAATTTTAATGATTTTATCAATCCTTGGAGAGATTGGCAACATTGTAACCACAAAAGTAGGTTTTGGGTTGACAATGAATTTCTAGCTTTTGTCTTCATACATAGACTGGGTGCATCTCTTGAGTCTGTGTTTTTTAAAGTTAGAAGCAGTCTAGAGACCCACAGAAATGTTTTGGCGAAACAAATTTGGGTTATGACCTGTAGTTTAAAAAGCAGGGGTTTAGCAGAACATTCTGAAATAAAATTTTGCCATTCTGGTTCAAATGCTGAATTATTTTCCCATTGAATTTTAGCCATTTAATGACTTATTTTGCAAAAAACCCTGTGGCACTCACCGGAAACCTATGTCTGTATGCCCAAGATACAATCACATCACTCTTGTATACAAAATGTCTTGGATAAACCTGACAAGAAAAAAATATTTCAAATACAATTGATGTCATATTTAACCAAATATTTTAAATAAATCAACAATGAAAAAAATACAGGTAGTTTTTTTTTTTCCTGAAAAAAAATCAGTAGATTTCTATTAAAGGGATACATGTGCACTTGATAAGTTTTTAAAGCAATACATATTTAAAATTAACTTCATTCTTTTATAATGCATTCGAAAAAAAACAAAAAAAACCAACAAACTGCAAATAATTTTTGATTTAAACTATTTAACTTCTTATTTAATTGTAATAAATGTTTGCTGCTCACTGTTGGATGAGAATGATTTTTAAAAATATAATTAAAACCTACTTCAAAAATGTATATAACGTTTGCCAAACTAGTTAAAGCACACTCGATGTTGAGGTCAAGAGTTAACAATTCACTTCCATTCTTGGGCATGGGAATTTATCTATATTATGGTTATATAATTACCAACAAATAATTATACAAATACGAATATTACTTTTGTTGCAATTTGTAAATCTTATACATATAAATTCTTAAAGCAGATACAATACAACATTAAAAATCACATTAAAAAAGTGTTATAGAGTAAAATAGTGGTTAAAAATAAAATAGACAATTATCAAACTGAGTTTAAATTATAAACCACATACTTACTAAAGTCTCATTTAGATTTCTCCTTAATATAATTTCTTTTGAATGATTCAAGGCTAGTAGTCGGGCTAAACGTTGATTAGTGACAACACCAAAGTGAACGGGCTGTATTGGATCTTTAACGACAGCTTTGACAGCAGCCTTAAAGAACGACCCAAAGCCCTCTGGATCCCTGTAATCCTTGTTCAATCCAGGCATGAAGTTGAAATAACCAATCACAGAAACCTGGAAAAATAATACATAATAGTAACGTAAATTTTTTTCGAATGAGAGCCGCTCTCGAATAGGCGCTGCTCTCGGATATGCACTGCTCTCGAATAAGCGCTGCACCGAACATTCTTTTTTTTTTTTCGATAAGTGCCGCTCTTGAATAAGTACTTAATCTTAATTGAGAGTACATAATAACCCGGAGTGTAATGATACACAAATTTTAATATAATGTACGCAGTGTTCAAATGAATATATAACACTTAAATAATAAATTGTCGGTGGCAGCCCGGCGTTGCATTCTACAAAGAATTGAGTCAGTCGACAACCTTCGGGCACATTGAGTGTTCAGCATAAGTGGCAAGTATCACAATTTTGGATAAGAATAAAATATAAACAAACATAAATGTTAAAAAAATTGTTTTCAACCATTGTGAAAATTACCTCATGTTCAGCACAAAATAATTTCACGCTACTTTCATCTGTAAGGTATTGAAAAGGATTCATGATGTGCGTTAAAAATTGCATCATGCTTTCTGCAGTGAGTAAGCCTGTGTATTCCAACTCTCCGAGAGCCTGATGAATTACAGTGATGAGGGGGTAGAAGTTAAGTACTCGATATTGCGCACATGTTCCATACGGCCACCAACAGTTCACGGCAAGGAATGGAACATCCTGAAATGAGAAAATTACAGATCCAATTCTACAAAATGTCAGCTATAATGAACATGCATCTGATTTTGTTTATGTTAGTTCTGATTGAAATAAAGGTTAGTGTAGATATTGGGCTCTGTTGTATATGTTAAAATACTGGTCTGGCCACCGGCGCTCAAATCAGGTAATTCAAGCCAAGTGGCTTGCCAAGTTTGACCTTATCCTTGTTGCAACTTGACCTGTTCTATGTAAAGATGTTGATCAATCAGAAAAAATGCTAAGAATCTAGTCAAGGGCTGCAAGCAATGTGCTCAATTACAATCTTCAGGCACACATAAGGAGCTTGTTACAAATCTGTACATTAACTTTCAGTGGTCTTCTCATTCATGCTGGCTTCCAAACCATGTGTGTGAACACTTTGATGTTCTGATACCTGCCTAGAGTCTCAAGTATGAACACAGCCATACAGTACTGTATGTAATTTTCCTATACAGTTATGATACCTTTGGGCTTCTTTTTTGAGAAATTTCTATGGGCTTCTTTTTGAGATGGGATTCTTTTTGTGGATACTTTTGCAAGAAAAAGAGGGGGCTTCTTTCCAAAATGAATGCTGTAAATTTTGAAAATTATTACTACAAAACAATAAAAAGGGTCACTGTAACATCAATCTGTATCATAGAGTGTATAAACCGGCATTAAATCACCTAAACTACTGTATAAACCAAACATGTTTTTAATTTATTCTGTTTCTTTGAAATTCATGTACAGTGAATGTACTGTACTATCTTGAAAGCCCATGCTATATATTCGAGGCTACTTTTGCAAAATAAAGAGGGGGCCTTAATTCGAGATGGGCATCTTCTCAAGATTAAGCCCATTGGGCTTCTATTCAAGGTTTAACGATATTACATCATCATTTGGGCAAACCGCAGATATTTGCAACATAAAGAACATGTGGACAGACCTTTAATAACTGTGACGTATTGACTAAGTAATTCTTCTTTTGAAGTGATGTATCCAATCCAAATATGAAAAACCATAGCAATAACAATTGATCTGACGTCCAGGAATACCCCATTCATGACACTAATGGTCTGTTTCCCTACTATTACGGCCTTAATGTGTCTATGAAACTTGACTGACTGGAATCATCACACCACACTGTAAAGTATTACATTTGCACAGAGGTTTGGGATATCCAAGCTAAAATTTGTGCAGAAACGTAACCGTACTGCTTAATACATTGGTTGTATATTTGATACTAAAAATGGTATTGATTCAATTATTATGTGCTTAGCAATATTAAGATTATTATAATTTGTCCGTGTGAAGAATATTTTAATTCAATGGCATGTTTGCATTATTATATTTTTTATGTATGCTTTTTCTATTTGGAGGTTTTTGTATTAAAATAAACTTAACAGAATAGAAGCGGTTGGTGCACAGTTGTGGCTTGGACTCTCAACCTTGAGGTTGGGGGTTCAAATCCCTCGCTGTGTAAGTCGCTTATGTTCTTAGGCAAGAAAATTTATCTATCTTTGTCTCTCTCCACCTAGTAGAAGTATAATGGGTACCGGTAAAGCAGATTACTGTGTGGAAGAAGTGACGAATCCCCCACAGCCTTGCATTCTGACCTGTGAGAAGAGAGCTTCAGGTTTCAACCGTTATCTTTACCTCTAAATAAATCGAAATATTAAGAAATTGGCTACATAAAGCAAGAATTAAGCGGAAATCAGACCCTTTTTTCAGTTCTGGTATGCACGGATGGAATTTGGCCTAATTTTTGCGCGGTGGACATCTTCCCCCATGCAAGCCTAATTTTTACAGTCGCATCACGACTACCAATCACGTACCATGGAAGACATTTGCTTTGCAACATTTTCAAATTCCTGCGAAGTATTCAGTGACGTGCCATCCCAGTGGGCGTAAAACATCACCATCGCAAAGTCCACTTCTCCGTGTTTCACAAACTCGTCGACGACTACCATATTACCGTCAGCAAACTCGTGAACATTCGAGCCTTTTTTGAAGATACGCTGTGGTATGGGTATATGACTGGAGAAGTTTCTGCATTTAAACAAAAAAAAAAAAACACAAATTCTTAAATTTTAATTTTAAAAGTAATTGTTGTGAAAGTAAAACTATTTTTTTAAATTTTGAAGTTCAGAAAAATGAAAGTGACTATTGTTACACCAGTCATGAATTCCTAAATTCCAATTGGCTGGACAAAACAAATCATAAGGAATTAATTTGTTTAAGATTGGTGCAAAAATAGCCACTAAGTTACAAAAAAATAAAAATATTAAAATTAGTTTCCAATAAAAAAAAAATAATTTTTATTAATAATTATTTGAGTTAAACGCAAATAATTTTCTTTAGAATTTTATTAGATATGAACAGACCATTTTTTTGCACATTTTCTATTAGATTACTATTTAATATAGGAAAACAAATACTCCGGTGGGGTGTCATGTCGAGACCCCTAGCTACCTTAGGGATAGGAAAAAGAACAGAAGTCTCACACCTGCAAATTCAACTTGGAATCTCTGGGTTAGGCAGGCCCCTTTTTATTCTTAGGCCTGGCCAGTTAGGCCTAGGGCGGCTAGGCTAGGCCTTGTTTTAAATTATGTTTTATTATAGTTTGAGCAGGGAGTTTGAGCCTAGGCCCCTGCTTTTTGAATTTGAAATGACACTCTGCAACTCCTTTTTCAGCATTAGGCCTATTATAATCTTACCTAAATCCTGAAGGTTTCATAGCGAACAGTGTGAACATTAATGTCACCAAAATACACCAGGTTTCAGGCCGCCTAGCCATCTCTACTATGGTCCTTGACAGGGACTTCCAAGCCCAAAAAGCCCAACTGCTGAGCGAAGCAACACTTAACCGTAGGCCTAGACTTGCTGGGAATACCATGCCTTCCAGTCACCCTTCTGGCAGTCCATATGTTACCATTACCTTTTGTTTACCTGCAGTCTATTGTAAAAAGTATTATTTTGTATTTTTCGTATTTTTGTGATTTTCCCCATTTAAGTTGAAAATGTGGCTTGAAGTACGTCCGATCAATCTTGGAAGAAAACATTAATTTGAACTTTGAACCTCGACGTGGACTTAAAGAGAGAGAGACAGCACAGAGAGAGGGCCACACTTTTCTGTTCACTTTTTCCTCTAATATAAATCCTGGTTTTAATGACGCCAATTCGTCCCGACTATTATATATTTATATTATTATTATTATTTTATCACATGTTGTTCTTCAAACTAGCCTACAAATATTATGATAGTCTTAAAATGTACATAACGGAAAACGGAATAACATTTTATAATTATTCAGATTCAAGATCCATATAAAGCACGCAGTATTATGATAACTGCCAATAAAGCACGGGGGAAACTCACATTACCGAGTCGTCAAAGCTGAGTTATACAGAAATAGAATCAAATTGCCATTAACTGATTAAAAATGCTGTCTCTTATACACATCTAGATGTGTATAAGAGACAGATATATACCAAGGTGTTATTATAGACCAGACCCGACATTGATAGATATGTTGATGTTGCGGTACACCACGTAGGTAGTTCTGAAAGATATTATTCTCCTAAAGACGATTAAATCAACTCGAGACGAATCGTCGAATTTTCTCAACTACTCAGTTCTACCGCAAACATCAACATATATGCTATTACTCCTCCATTCAAACCTTCAAACAATAAGTATTTGGGTGTTGAATGTGTATAGACGACACAAGACTCAACAGCCAATTGTGTGTACAACTGTAATTTATTAAATCGAGTAATCAAGTGAAAAATACAAAGTTGAAAGTATAAAAACACTTGTTTCGGAGAGAGTATAAAAATAATGTTTTCTCTTTGACAGAATGAAAACTAGGCCTACTATTAACTGAAATACATGTAACCTCAGTGTGTTGGGTTTTTCTACCAATTAGATTGGTCACTCCCTTTGCTACATTCCAAAGTACTAACACTGTTGACCAGAACATAGACTTACTTTCCGTTTTCACTGAAAGTTGTGAGCTAATTAATTATGCCTACCAAGCCTTTATATGAAGGGTGGTGTGCGTGTTAAATTAGACTTAATATTAAAAGGAAATACTGTACTGTAATAATTATACTGTATAAACTTTAAAGTTAAAATATTTTTATAAATTCTAAAAAATTTAAAATGAAGAAATTAAAAGTCAAACATCAATAGACGCTACAAGTAGGGAGATGTTAGTATAAAACTGCAAGATGTCCGACTGCCCTAATTTTGTATGCTGCAAGGTATGCAGGCAATGGAACTCTAAAAGTACTGACACGAAATAGGGGGCGCCCTACACATAATTTAGAAACGCGTGTGCGTTGCTCGAATATTAAAGATCATAATTTGCTGATGATGAACTAATTAATATTCCGATCAATATTTAAACAATGTTCCTCGTGGCTGCTCGACCTAGCCCCTCTCCCACCTAGGTTTATTTCACCTAAGAGTCACAAAATTGTTACGAGTTAAAGGTTGGAAAGGACCTAGAGCTTATTACGTGTTACGAGTGAGGCACGACTTTATGGAGTTGGTTACGAGTTATGTACGAAATGCCGAGAAAGCACCGAGTTAACTACGAGATTATTAAGAGTGTAACAAGTTTGTACCGAATTAGATACGAGTTAGGTACGAGCCAACTCGGTGCGCTCGTATTTACTCGTACTCGTTTCGGGGTGCTCGCCTCAAACTCGTAGATGACAAAACCGCCGACGAGTATCCAGAGTAGTGTACGACCTATGTAGGAGTACCCCGAGTACTCTACGAGCTACCTATGAGTTCTTCGAGTTTACTACGAGTTATCTACTCGTGGCGATAATTTTGAACATGTTCAAAATTAGCGCCACGAGTTCAGAGCTGCTACGAGTAGGTAAGAGTTCTCTCCGAGCTTTCCGAATCGTCCTACGAGTTTTTGCCGAGTTTGCCGAGTAAGCAACTCGGCAAACTCTTGTAACTCGAATGCTGGAAAAACCCCTAGTGGGAGAGGGGATGGGCTAATTTATTCGTGCGAATCGAAAGCGTTGGTGCATGTGCATTCCTATCGGAGTTTTTGCGAAGCGATAAAATGCGCAACCAATCAGAGCTCAGGAAGCGAACCGACGCTTTGATTCGCGCGAATAAATTCGCCTAGTGGAAAACCAGCTTGATAATAATAATAATAATAATAATAATAATAATAATAATAATAATAATAATAATAATAATAATAATAATAATAATAATAATAATAATAATAATTTATATAGCGCCAATTTCAACTATACCGAAGTAAAAATCAAAGGCGCTTAACATTTAGATGGTAAAAAGGTGCGTCTTAAGTTTTGTCTTAAACATAGCAACTGACGGTGATTGGATAATATGTTTAGGCAATGAGTTCCAAAGGGATGCTGCGGAAAATGAATATGATCTAGAACCAAAGATCTTGGAACATCTGGTTGTATCATTTGAGCACCACCTATTGAATCTATATTATGGCGCTATTACATCTTAATCAAGTGTCAGTAAACGTCATTCTCATACGAGAGTATTCCTATACGAGAGTATTTTTTGATTCTCCGATAATAATATTTACCAAAAATATTACAATATATGATAAAAATGACATTATTTAGATAAGGCAATTAACTGATTAAAAATGAATGACATTATGTCAAGCTAAGACAATTTTAATTCTCATAGTGCTACTGTATGTTCAGCCATGTTACCTCATCTTAGCCCAACCATGGAGGGGTTCCATGCACTCGGCAGTGGCGTAACGCCTAAGCACTCTCATGCGGCGGTCCGCAGGGGCCCCGAGGGGGCCCTACCTATTATAGGTTCCTCGATCTAGCACCCTGACCAAAAAGGACTTTGTTGATAAATAACACCATAATGTGTCTCTGAAATCGACATTAGGGGGCATATATCATATTATAACTATTAAACCATGGGGGGGGGGGTCTGAGGTGGTATAGACTCAACTGTGAAAATCCCTCCCAGGACTCAATTTTCTGGATTCATATTATATCATTTATTCGTCGTTAAAAACATTTAGAATAACAATGCACATCTAAAATCCCATGATGGAATTGGTGACGGGGCCCGAAAAGGGCCCCCAGTTTCAGAAATACACAGGGCCCCCGACCCCATCGTTACGCCACTGGTACTCGGCACTCTCTATAATATCTTACACAGACTTTAACATACATCTTACTATTAAAATAATTACCAACCATTTTCAAGTCTAGAAGTGACATTTCTTGCATGTTAGGATTGAGGTGGACATTGATACACTTAGTGCCCTTCATCTCCCTTTTCCCCACAAAAAATAAATAAATAAATAAAAATGTCAAACAACTGTTTTCACTACTAGCATCATAAATTCAAAGTTCAACGCTTCAAAGTTTTATTTCGCAAACGTATTTAACTGCGAGTGCGTTGCAGTTTGAAGACAGTTGTTGGTCATAAAGATCCACATAAACACAACCGCGTGCTGTTTTAGTGTCATCCTGTACAGAATATTCACCAATATCGATCATACTCCCATTCCTGTAATAGAAGGTCGATCCGTCCAATCCAAATAGAAAAAAAAAATCCAAGGAGGAAAATGATATATGGCCAAGTCATTCTGGGATGTCACGAAGATACAGGATGCAGCCTTGTGCCAATGGTGTGCCTACTTCTCGCACAGCTTCTTTCTGCAGTTCTATTCAGATTCAGATCCTCCTCGCTGGTGCTTACCTTAATGCATCGGTTTCCAGGAATAGTGTACCAGGTGGATGGACAACTGCTGTCACACACAACATTAAGAAGTAGCAGAATCACGAATTTTTCCTTTGACGAACAAAGTGGATTTTCTTTTACATTCAGTGCTGGTGTCCTTTAATCATTTTTTTCTTATGCCATATTTATTATGGTTTTTAAAGTACACTTAAAATATTTATAACAATCACGGCACTACATAAAGCTGCGTTTTAACTTGCCCTTTCCATTTCTAGGCTCTATGAAACAAACATGTTTCGGCAGAAGGTACATCTTCAGCGAGGAGATTGCACGCAGATAAATCCTATTTTTAGGAAAGTATTTATTTAATTAATTCCTTTATTGAATTATTTTTTTCAAAACTGATATAACGCCCCTTTAATGGTTAATTATGCTCAAAGCACGTACAATACAATATTTACAAGTTAAAAGTGTGTAAAACATTAAAAAATAGAATAAATATATAAAATATTAACACTTTTAAGCAAGATAAAAATGTACCAAAATAAAATGTTTAAGACAACACGGAGGAATAAGTTACACGTAGTATTACTGTATATGTTGTGAGTCGTTATCTTTTAAAATAGGATTAGGCCTACCTGTGTGCAATTTTCACACTGATGATGGCAGTATACCAGCGAAGTCTACAATCACAATGCGTTTACATAACGTCATGAGTCAACAGTTTTGATTTTACAATGAATACAGGTCTCCAGCTAATACTCTAAATACAGAGGAGCGACGAAGAATTACAAAGTCAAGTCACCCACACCCGATTAGACACTTTGATCCATGCTGTTAAGTTTAATACACAACAGCAGCAGCACCACCAACACCACCACCACCACTACTACAATAAGTGCAGTATCGTCAGCAGCAACAGCTGCAACAGTAGCAACAGAAACAGCAACAACAACAACAACAACATCAACATCAACAACAAAATCAACATAATCAACGACATGTTAGATTTATATAGCGTTTTATGGTACCAACGGAGTTAAATCCCGGTTAGGTCACCGATTTTATTTTTTACATTGGCAGATTCCTTTTCTGTAACTTTCAACATGAATTTACATGCACTCAAAGCATCATTGCAAGATGATTTAGAGGTTATCTATATTAAGAGACAGGTCAGGTTAATGTGCGTACGAGAAAGTTTCCTAGACAATTTGCAAATATCAAATGTACATTATTACGTTTAAAATTGTATGATTGTTTTTAATATTTTCCAGGCTATAGAGTTCCACAACTAACAACTGAAAGAAATTGTTCGGTTGTGTCTTCCAAAACCATTATAGTGGTCTCTAAAACAGAGGGGGCCTTTATTTGGTGAGAGATGAGCTAATTTCAAAAGATAAGTATTCAACATTTTTCTACAGCACCCTTAAAGATATGCTTTTAAAAATTAAACATTAACTTCCTAATTAAAATTACTGTACCCCTAAATGTTCTGTAATTTACTGCAAGACGATCCATAATTTACGGATGTCTAAAATTGGTTGGAATTAATTAATAATATGCAAAACCCGTAGAAAGAGAATGTGCTTTTTTTCAGATTCAGATTTACATTTAGATTCATATTCTATATTCGTCTTATGTTGGTAAGCATATGGATTTTTCCTGAGTTATTTCTTTTATTTATTTTGTTTATACCTTTTCTCTCCTAAACGGAGAGTTTATGTAAGTATAGGCTTCTTCCCCTTATAAAACAATAAAACAAAATAATTAGTGCTGCAAATAATTCTGTCTTTTTTTTAAAGGAAAGTAAACATATTTTGAGAATTGGTTTGTTCACTTAATATTAGACATGAGTAAGCATAATTTATTGATAGACGGATAAGTGAAAGATATTTGTGGAATAAACTTCTTTCTTAATTAGTATATATGAGACAAATGAAAAGAAAATAGATCTCATCCTCAACTAAATTTGTTACATATTTTGCATATGCGATATTGCTGTGAATGAGAGTAGAAATAGTCAGATAGTATAAAGTGAGAAATCAGTAAGAATGATTGAAATCAATAGGCTACGCAAGATAGGGTAATAAGAGTAAATACAGCTGGAACAAACAACATTACCAAACCCACAATGTTATTTTGACGTTCAATCTTCTTCTTTATTCCATACCTTGACCGAGACTTTAGGTGACCTCTTTGTTTCGAACCCTGTTACGGGACAAGATGGTAGCTAATGTGACTCCTCAGCTGTCTCTTTATAAAAATCTGAGTATTAATTAACCAATTACCAGAAAATGAAAAACAAGATTTATTTGTTTTCATATTCTGTAGGTCTACGCCTATCCAAACTGGTTTTCATATATTGCCAGTAGACCTACGCCTAACACAAACTAGTCTAATACATAATCACTGTAATGGTTGATAACTATTTTGCTGTCTTGGACTTTGAGAGAATCGGGATGGTTTCGGGGAAGACATAGCTAATAGGCCTACTTTGAAGTTAGGTTAGTCAATGTCAGTCAATTTCCTTTTAAACATCTTCAGACTAAGTTTCAAAAAACATATTTTCAGACTGTCAAAAATAATTTTTCTTTTAATGTTTCTTTTTTATAATTATAGTTTTCATTTTGATTTTATTTTGTAAGTCACTGTATAAAAATGTTTTGCTATGCCTATTAAACAAATTAATATACATCTTACTATTAAAGTATGGTCTTTATTAAAGACAGTTTTAAGCCTGAGAGTAGCCACATATCTTTATAGTTTCCCTCAATATCAATCATGTTCGGATTGAGGAGAACATTGATACACCTATCCCGCCTGTACTTTCTTTTCTCAAAAAATGTCAAAAAACTTATTCCATTACTAGCATTAAACATTTTATAATTTCATTTCACAAATGTATCCAACTTCATTATCCCTGCAGTCTACATGCACTTCTTGGTTAGACAGGTCCACCTCAATACAGCCGCCTATTGCGAAAGCGGGAACAGTTAATAAAGAATACTCATCAATTTCGAACATACTTCCATTGCTGTAATAGTAGGTGGATCCGTCATAGTTCCAATCCAGGTAGACAAATTGTACCCAACGCTTAAAATTATATAATATGGCCATGTCATTTGGTGATGTCACGGAGATATATGATGCAACCTTTGTGTCAATTGTGTACTTCTCGCACAGCTTACTGTCTAGAATTTTATTCAGACTCGTCTTGTCTCCGATTACCTTGATGCATCGGTTTCCAGGAATGGTGTACCAGGTGGTCGGACAACTACTGTCACACAACACAAAAAGAAGCAGCAAAATCAGGAATTTTACCTTTGGAGAATAAAATGGATTGTGTTTGACGTACAGTGGTGGCATTTTTCAATTATTTTCTTTTTCCATATTTCTTACGCTTTTTCAAGTATACAATACCCTTTAAATATGTAAAACGATAACGGAACTACATGATGCTCATGTTAGGTGTAACGCTGGATTATAATTTGCCCTACCATAGCTAGGCTCTATGAAACGAATATAATTTGGAAGTTTCTACACTTCCATTTTCACTGCGGAGATTTTACGCAACCAATCTTATTTATAAATGAGTATTTATTTTATGAATATAAGTATATATTTATATTTAGATTCATATTTTATATTCGTCTTATATTATTAAGAACAATATTTTTTTTGAGTTATTTCTTTTATATTTTTTTGTTTTTTTTTCTCTCCAAAATGGAGATTTAGTATAGGCCTCTACCCCTTATGCAAATATAAAAACACTTAATTAGTTAGTGCTGCAAATAAAATAAAAATTTAAAACTCAATTGCTCTGAACCTTGCAGAAAGGGCATAAATAGCACCCTTTACTGATTTGTGTGGAAACATGACAAAATATGATGGTCTAATCTAATGCTATGTTTAAATCAACGATAATAGTTCAACTTATATTGTGATCTCATTATTTCATAATATTTTTTATTTTTCAATGTTAGTAACTCTCAATCTACGATCATTAAGATTATCTTATGATCATTATATTTATCATAAATATATTGATCATGCCAACCAAATCCATATAAATAAATTGTTAAATTTCATTGCCCAGCACACTTCGTTTCTTTCTTAATTGAAATTCATAACAATTACACAAATATCTATTTGGATCATCTGAAACAACTTGCAACCAAAACAGTAGAGATCCTGACTAAGATATGTATGCACTTTAATAGGAGAGTATATCTCAACTGACATAGACTAATATGAACCTGGGAACAACATGGGATGTGTGCCAAAATATGTATCCGGGACGAACAGCCTTAAAATGGCCACACCTATGTTTAAATGGTAACACCCCTTTTTCATTGGACGCTCTACATTAGGCTAGACTATGTTATATTGCAAAAAATGTTTTTTTTTTCTTTTATTAAAGAACACACATACGATGAGGGGGATAACATTTCAGAAATCTCAACTTCGAAGTCCCGTTCATATGGAAATTAGCTTAAATATGCAAAGTAGGGGTTACGCCCCCTTCTTTTACGCCCCCTTCTTTTAGGAAGTGCTACATTAACTGTAGGCTAGACAAACTGAACATATTGTAAACAAGGGTTTTCTTAATTTATTGAAGACATATGAGGAGGGGTGTATAAAGTAATACTTTAAACCAGTGGATCCCAACCTGGGGTCTGCGAAAAATAATTGGGGTCCGCCAAGTCAAAGGGGTCGGCAGGGGTCCGTGGAGAATGTGGGGTCCGTGGAGAATGTGGGGGTCCGAAAAAATTGTGGGGTTCCGCTAGATTATTAGAACAGCATTTTAATGATTCCATTATTTTTTCTTGTCTTACAATAGTGTGATCATGCCTTGAGAAATAATGAAATCCCTTGATAGGCATGACTTCGTTCACTCTAAATTGTTTTAATCGGCATTATTTTTTAATTCCAATATTTTATTAGTGATCTGATAGAATCTTTTATATTACTTTTTATGTTCTCTATGTAAATATGTTTAGTATAAGAGAGCAACTTGATAGTGGCAATCCTCAGGTAATGTACATCTTGTTTCAACTCTTGTATTGGATACCTAGATATTGAACAAAATTATAAAATCAGGACGGAGCCCTAAATTTGACAAAATTAAAAGTAAATGGGGGATATATTACATTCAAATTTTGAGTCTGTCAGTGTCATTTCCGGCCATCTACAAGTGCCATAAACATAAAAAATTTCCTACCTCAGCCCCACCCTGGTAAACCCCCTATCTGTAAAATTTACTGTCTGACATGCACCCCTCCCCTCATGTCTATGTAGAATTCCAAGATCCAAGGTGTCGTAATTTAGAGAATCATCCATAATCTTATTGGTGGAATATCATATATCGCCCTAAATTGTAAACATTAAAAAGTAAACGGGGGTGGCGGTAAAAGAAAATTACCTTTAATATTGAGTCTGACAGTGCCATTTCCTGCCATCTAGAAGTGATATAGGCATAAAAAAAATTGTACCTCAGCCCCAACCATGGTAGGGCTGAGGTGGTTTCTATTTCGAATTCCACGATTCGTCATTGTTTAATGATGTACTTTCGTGGCGAATTATCTTCTATCAGTAGGCCTTATCTTATTGCTGGGATATGGACAATGAGTACTATTTGGACATGGGGGTTGGTGAAGATTTTGACATGTCTAGAAGGTTCCGCGAACGCAAACAGTTTGGGAAACAATGCATTAAACCGTAAGCTATTCCATCGAAATATATTGCAAACAAGGGTTGTTTTTATATAAATGAATGCCCATGATGGGAGGATAAAATTGCAAAAATTACACTCTGGTCAGATATCCTGCTCATATGCAAATTAGCTTAAATATGCAAAAAAAGGAGAAAATTATAGGTTAAGCCCCTTTTTTATTTGAAGTACCTCTTGAAACAGTAGGCAAATATTGCAAAGATTTGTCTTTTATAAACACATATGATAAGAGGGATAATAGAAACACACCGTGGTCACATGTCTAATTCATATGCAAATTTTCTTAAATATTCAAAGAAATTTGAGCCATGCCCCTTTTTATTTGAATTCGTACTTTAAATAGTAGGCGAGATAATCTGAAAATATTGCAAACTAGAGTTTTTTGTTTGTACATAAATACAATTGAAGAGGGGATCACATTTTAGAAATATCACTTTAATCACACAAGTCCCCTTTAGATTGTCTAGATTTTTGGTAGCACTTCAAATAAAAAAGGGGCGTGACCCATGTGATCACGATGTGAATTTTGAGATTTCATCTCATCATACGTGTTCATTTATAAAAAAATAAAATAAAAGCCCTTCTTGTTTGCAAAATGTTCAGATTCTATTGCCTACTTATTAAAGATAATTTGCTTATGAACACGACGTGTGACTACAGTGTGATTTCTAAAATTGTATCCACTCAACGAGTATTTTATTTATAAAAGAAGAACCATTTTTTTGGTGAATATCTAGATTGTCTAGCCTACAGTTTAAAGTGGCCGTTCAAATTTGCCTTATTTTCCCCTTTTTTGTGACATATTTAAGCTAATTTTCATATGAACAGGACACGTGAACATGGTGTGATTTCTCAAATTTTATCCCCTCATCACATATCTTCATTTATAAAAGAAAACCCTTGTTTACAAGATGTTTAAGTTGTCTCGTTTACTGTTACAGTAGTGCTTCCAATCAAAAAGGGGGCATGGCCTTTATTTTGCATATTTAGGCTAATTTCCATATGAATGGTGATTAATATGAGATTTCTGAAATTTGATCCCCTCATTATATGTTTTCTTTTATAAAAGAAAAAAAAAACATTTTTTGGAATATGTTCATAATGTCTAGCCTACTGTTTAAAGTAGCACTTCCAATGAAAAATGGGGCGTGGTCATTTTAAAAAGGTGTGGTCATTTTCTGGATGTTAACTATACAATTTGATGCGTAGAGGTTGTCTGCCTACGTCGGCGTGTAGCCCATATATTCGGGGCATTCCTACCGATACCTAAAATAAGTCTACACAATTTTGTATGGATAGTTTTAATTTTAAGATTATCAAGCATTTCCTAGAATTAACATCCTTAAGTTCGGATTTAAACATCAAATATGATTCCATGAATTAGCTAGCAGGTAAATATTAAGAGAGATTGTGGTTTACTAAATTTTTACAGTAAATAAAGATTTTTGAGTTATTTAGGATTGTGTTATCAAAATTTCCGTTTGAATTAAAAACAAACCCTAAATGGATAAATGTTATAACTGTTTCAATTTCATTGCCTTTATATAACATTTTTTTTAATATTTTTAAAATTTTCCACCTTTCTTAAATATAACATTTTTTACAACATTTACAGTAAGTGACCATGTATAACATTAGTATGCAATTATGTCAAAAAGTTGTTGCAATCACTTTACCGTGTCTCTGGCAATAAACAGATCGTCTGCATAAAAGATGATTAATGTAACAGTCATCAAACTGCATCTTATTTTTATTTTGAATAAACGGATAACTACTATCATTAATAAATATATGGAAATAGTGATGGACTCCAACTAAGCATTTAAAAGGATAACTTAGTTTGCTAACAATTTTGACGGGGCAGATAAGTTGATAAAAAGAAAAATTGTTTCATACATTCTACCACTGACTATTTGTTTTAATTTATGTAAAAGATAAATTGTGGTTAACAGAATCAAACACACCACTTAGATCAATGAAACAAACAACAATTCTCGTTTTTTAGTTAAATATCTTGAAATGATAGTTTTTAGAAAGAAAATATTATGTAATGCTCTGTAACCCTTCCTAAAACCCGGTTTTTCCTCGTGGACTATATTAGTTTCTACAATATTAGAAAGTATTGTTTTGTACACAAAGCGAGTTTTATTCAACAGACATACTCATCTAACAAATCCTTTGTTATATAACTGAATCGCACTAGGCAGATTTTTCTGTGCCTGTGTTTTTTACCATTATATATACTGAACTTCTGCCTGATCTATTGTACTGCTGTTTAGAGGATGTGGTTCTTTTTCATTTTCAATCATCTAAATGTATTTATCATGGCAGAGTTACATAACTTTGAGCATTGAGGTAGGCACTCTTTCTTTTCTTTTCAAGCATTTTCGATTTAGATTTTTAACACCAGATGTAGCCTACGACTTGACTGAAGTCAATGAAAGACGAATCTGGTGGTTCTTCAACGAGTTACCTTGTTGTTCTGGTAATAATGGAGCCCAGATAGTGTGACATTATTCCAGTAAAGGGTGAAACGGAGTAAGATAGTCAATACGATTTTTATTTCTTTACTACAAACATGAAGGTTCATTCTGGTGAATCTTGAAATTTTGTTTATGCCATGTATTGATCATACATATGCCTATTCGAAATACTTAATATAACATGTTACCGTAAGCTAATTAAATGAAAAACAGAATGAAAATATACTTTCCTACGTAGACGCCCATAAATCAGTAACAAACTTTGTATATATATTATTTAATTTAAAGTACAGTATCTAAATAATATATGTATCCAGATATTGACTTACTTTTTCCATGACAGCGCGAAAAAATATCGGTTTATAACTCGGTTAATATCCTGACATTAAACAGTAAGTTGTTATAATATCTTGAGTTGAAGTGTCACTTTGTCTAAACTAATTTCGTTTTATAGTACACCTCTACATATCATGCTTAAATTATGCAAATATAAAATATTGAGGGCGCTATTTCTGGTACAAGCGTGTTCATATGGTTCCACGTATGTTTCGGTACGATAATAAAAGACCTTGATAAAGACCTGAGGATAGGTCCAAATATTAGTTTGCTCCAATACCGTTAAGTGTTTCTGAAGTCTATACATGGTATTCGTTTCC